GGCATTTTTGTAGGCTCCTCGTACATAATAATACCATGATATCACCCGCTCCACGGGGTCACGTACCATATTTATATAAATCGGTTTGGGTAAATCAAACTCTTCGAAATCTATCCAATTGACATGTTCAATATAAACGGAACCCTCATCTAATTCCGATACCGTTTCAGCCAATTTACGTTGTTCCCAAGGTTTAAGTTGACGTTTCGTCTTCTTACGTAAACCTTCACGTTCAATATAAATGCCATGGAATTTTTCCAATGAATTGAATAATTCCAAGAGAGATTCACTGCCAACTTTGGCTGCACGATTGAAAAATATCACATCGATATCAGCTTTACGGGTATTATTTAGAACGTGGGTATTTAGTTTGGCAAGCTGTGTTTTGTGTGGAGAGAAAAATCAGAAAAAAATCAACATTTTTTAAATTTGAAATATTCAAATGCGAAGCAAAAAAAAAAAAAAAAAAAAAAATAAGCTGAGAATTAGTATGGAATTTAGCAGAGAATGTAGTAGAGGTTCCAATCATTAAATACATGTCATGTAGAAATATAAAAAATTGGAAAAATAGAAATGAAGCCAAAAATTAAAGAAAAATAAATGCCTACGCCTTCAATAAGGAGGAAGAATTAGAAAAAAACTTGAACTTTCATGAAGAGCAAATTTCCTAATATGAAAACCCAACATTGGGCGCCAGCATATGTAAATTTTAAAATAATTTATTTCCTACGGAGAGAATACTTCCTATAGTTTTGGTTATTATTGCTTGAAGAGGGCCCTAATATACAAGATAGCTTAGAAATACTAATATAAGGTCTTCCGGGTATATAAGGTCTAAGCATTTTTAGAAAGCGGATTTTCTATAAGTCATCTTTAGTTATTATGAAGTATTTCGAGTCTTTTCCAATCAATGGTAAATTATCAGTTCTACTTTAACTGTTTCCTAAAAAGTTATAATTTTTTTTCTTATATCCTAAAAACTCCGAACGTTGGGCGCCAAAATGTGTAAAGTGTAAAATATATTGTCTACGACTATATGCATGCATTTGTTATCCGCTAATTTGTAGAGTACACCTTTTATAGTTCCTTTGGATACCAATAAAGTCATAGTGTGGCCATACATTTACATTTGCTCCACACTCTTTGCCTACATGTTATGACTCCCAAGGACCACTGATATCGAATCAAAAACTGTTTCCCAAACTTTGGATCAGATATCCAGATCTGCAATGACGAAGGTTGTGTCCAAAATTTAATTTACTATTCCATTTTTATAGTAACATGTGTCGGGATGTCTGTTTTTATGTAACAAACTATCCTGAGATCATTTCTTCTTTTGTTGGGCCTAAAAGTATGCACCACACCTCTATAAAATAAAGTTATCAATACTCTACATCCTCGTAGTCTTTGGGTGTTTTTACTCTGATCAAGAATACATAGATGAGAGTAAAAATTTATCAGGACTTTCGCCAGTTTTTTATCTAAGAAACTACCCTGAGATCAACTTTAATTTTGCGTAGCCTAAAAGAATGCATCAGACATTTGTTTTAGTTTTGAAATAAAATTTACTACTCCAGTCTTTAATTGCAAAACTAAGGAATAGAATTGTGACAATTTTTCCCATTCCATACTTCTAAAATAAGGTTATCGTCCCATTTTAGAAACTTTGACGGCCTTGGTCTAAAAGTATGCACCATACTTTTATAATTTTGTACTGTAGACAGAAGAGTACATTTTAATTTCTAAAATGTATTTTGAATCCTTGGATATTGTTTTTTTTATAATTTAGTTTTAATGGCGCCCAATATGTGGATACTGATATCTTCCTACATTTTCCCCCCTTGGACATGATCACCTCAATAATCATCAGAACACCCCAGTTTTGTGTTTTCCAAAAATTACTTACAAACAATCTTCGCTGTGCCCGCAAAAGAACAACGATTGCCGACGAAAATCCAATTTCGGTTCACGTATTTGCATTTGAATGAACGCACATTCTGCGTCACCACTTCGCACACACACATTGAAATCTTTTTTAAACCACTCCTCTGATCTCATTACAGCATTAGGAAATTTATTAAAAATCATTGCATTGCGATAAGATGAACGTATATAATAATACCAGGATATAACCCTTTCCACCGGATCTCTAACCATATTTATGTAAATAGGTTTGGGTAAATCGAACGTGGTAAAATTAATCCAATTAACATGGGAAATATAAACTGAACCATCAATCAAATCGGCAACACGTTGGACAATTTTTCTTTGTTCAGCTTGTGGCATGTTCATTAGGACACGCTGTCGTAGACCACGAAAATCTATATCAAAATGATTGAATTTTTTTAAGGTCATCAATAATTGGAGCAGAGATTCACTACCAACTTTGGTGGGGCGGTTGAAGAATAAAACTTCAATGTCGGCTTTGGGAGTATTGTTCAGTTTAGCCGCGGAGAGGTTTGAAAGCTATGCGGGGGAAATGTAGAAATTGTTGATAATTTTGGATCTTTAATTTTATGGAGGGAAAGGTGTGAATTATTGGTAATTTCGAGAAGGGTTCCATGCTTATCAGGGGTAACATTCGTTAGTCAAAAATGGTACTACTTTTAAGGAGAAATTGGAACTAGGGGGGGGGTCTTTAAATTTATGGGGGGAAAAGTGTGAATTATTGGTAATTGCCGATCCGTAGTGGAATTGCAGTGGTAAAATTCGTTAGTCCACAAATGGAACCACTTTTAAGGAAAGGTGTGATTTGGTAATTTCTGATCTTTAATTGCATACGGGTACACGATGTTCGTTAGTTCAAAAATGGTACTACCTTTAAGCAGAAATTGTAACTACTTGGAAAAGTAGCGGTGCATCAAATGTAGTTTGGGATACTTTTTTGGGTGAAGTTGGTTGGACACAGAGAGGGGTAGGAAGTTGTATTCGAAAACTTTCGCTAATTTTGTATTAAAATATTTTTTTAAATATCTATTGCTCCCATCAGAATATTCCCTAGATCAACATGGTAAGCCTTGAGTATTCACCAAGTCTTTGTTATAGTTTAGATATTAGATATGTATTTCAAATATACTCAGAAAAATTCTTAATTTAGATACATTTTAAATTTGGCTATCCTAAAAGTATGCACCATACCTTTGTTATAGTTTTGAAATTTATTTTACAACTCAAATTTCATGCACTTTCAAAGTATGTAGGATTACAGAGTAGACCTACAGGAGTACCTTCTACTTCATATATAAGTCCTGAGACTGAACCCAGAAAACTGCTTAAATTATATAAATTTTTACTTTGGTGAGCCTAAAAGTATGCACCAAGCCTTTATTATAATTTTGACATTTATTTCAATACTGAAACCTACAACTTAAAGAGCGTTTCAAAGAGTATGACAAATTTTGTAATTGTGTATTTATACATATCCACCGGCTTGCCCTTCAGAGCACTAGAAAGCAATTTGCACACGGCCAACAAAACAGAAAAACTGCGAGCAAAAAATCCAATTCGACCGAACTTGTGACGGTCTTGGATCATGCCCATAATTCATGTAATATATTTTTATCATGTGAAATATGTTTTGGGACTTCCAATATGTATTATTTTGCGACTGAAATCTTAAACACAGAAAAAATACTTAATTCAGGTGCATTTTTAATTAACTAGGCCTAAAAGTATGCATCAAGCCTGTGTATATACACTACACCAGCCTTCAACGTACTACGCCGAGTAAGAGTATTATGTCATTATATTTCAATAAATGCAACAAATGCGACATTTCAAGTACATTTGATTAGTCAGGCTCTCTATTACATTTGACGACCCTGAAAGTATGCATCATGTCAAGAGAATTCCATTTGTCTGTGGAACTGTGGCCGCCTGGGGAGCTTCGCGGGGGTTGTGGTTTCGCCCCTCACCAAGGGGGAGAGTATGCCTTCTGTATGCTCTCCGATTGGTACAGCATTTCGGTGCTGGTGCGCAGGTGGGCGCATATCCGCCTGTGGCTCAGCCACTGCGAGGTAGGCCTATGGGCAGGTACTCGCACTGTAGAACTATGACGCTGTGAATGTAGTTTTCAACTCATAATAAAAATTATTAATTGGGTTAATTTTAATTTTGGTTGGACTAAAATTATGTACCCTGGCTGCCATAATTTTGTGTAAATTAACAGATTTGAATTATTAAATCAGTTTCATATTACTTTTTTGAGCCTGGAAATTTAATTTATTAGTCAACGCTTTTTACTCCACTAGCTTTAAGTTAACACTTTTAAAAAGAGATCATTTTTAATTGCGATACATTTTTTTCGATTATATGTCAGGTTGCTTAATAATTTGTATGATCCTTAAAGTAGGCACCAAACTTTTGTAATAATTTGAATTTGTAATAATAATTAGGAGAAATTGAATGAACAAAAACCTTAAAGAAAGAAATATTTAAAGTTAATTTAATTTTAAGAAATACAATTTCTCAGATGAAATATATGTTTTCAAAATTTGAGTTTATAAATATTAAATTTTATGGCTTTCCATTATAAAATTAAATCAAACATATTGTGTTTAAAAAAGTGTATATTTTATTGAAAAAAATATTTTTCTTAATGTCGAAAACTACATGCCAAACCTAATTTAATCTCAATAAGGCCTTATTGAGGAATGTCAATTTCTTTTCATTTTCCTTTTCTTCGATATCACGCAATTCCTTTTGTTTCAAGGCAAAATACTGTTTGTGTAGGCGTTGGCGGCAAAATTGATAGAATTCAATTTCTCGAGTAAAATTACGGCGGACCATATTCTTAATTTCTTCACTAATATGCGGTTTCATGGGATTACTGTTTTTGTGGTCATTGGCCAAGTCCACTGTGGAAAACGAATTGGAGGGAAAATTAATAATTTGATTTGGAAATATTGTTCGATGGTGGACTTACTATAATACATTTTCGAGGCCCCCTTAAAATAACGTGGTATATAATTTTCCAAGACCGTTAGAGTAACATTGGTATCCTCCCAGGTGCCGACCACAGCATATTCTTGCTCCACATTACGTTTGGCAATTTCCAAGGGTAAACGTGTATTGAAGGGCCTTAAAATGTTTGGATTTTTTCGAATTAAAAAAATTCTGAATTTTTGGGAGAACAATTCTCTTCAACTTACATGCATTTATGCTCATTATGACCGCAGAAAAACAATGTTTGCCTTCTATGATCACCGGCCCTCTCAAATTCAGATCCTTCAATGTAGGTGCACGCCTTATCCTTGCTCAATACACACTGATCAAATTCGGTATTTGCCCATTTTGGATTTGGCATGGGACGATTACTTTGACGCCTTTTCGGTACAAAAATCCATGGTGAACGTACATAATAATACCAGCTAATAACACGCTCTACCGGATCTCGAACCATATTCATATAAATGGGACGTTCCGCATCATAATCGGTAAAATTTATATAATTCACATGACTAACAAACACCGTGCTCTCGTCTAAATTATTGATATTATCAATTTGATTTTCGATGTCATCCTCTTCGAGTACGGTGCGTATACCGCCCTGTTGTGGATCAACTTCAACATCGAATTCATGTAGTTTACCCAATTTTTTCAAGAGATTTATCATTTGTACACTGCCCGTTTTGGGCACCCGATTAAAGAACAAAATATCCGTTTGAGCTTTTTTGGTATTATTCAATGCATCGGCATTTAGGTTAAACAGCTGGGTGGGGAGAATCGGAGAGAAAGAAAGAGAGGGAATATTGGAATTAATTTTCTGTTTCAAGTAGATTCAATGTGGGAAAGCCCAAAATGGAATGGTCAGAGCAAGCTACAATTCTTAGTTAGTTAGAAAATAAAATGCAGTTTCAGAAAGAGGGGGAAATATTACACCATTCCGAGAATTATTGAAGAAGATGAAACCAGCGGTTAAGGCAATAACATTGGCGATGCATTTATGAGGTACCAAAATATAGTGGGACAGAAAATACCGTTACAACAAAGATTCTTATCTATAAGCAATGCATGCATACTTTTAGGTGCAAAAAAACAATCAGCTGTTTTTGTAACTATAAGTTGCCTATTTTTTCTGGAGAGGGAGAAAGCTCTTAGCCGGATAATGATATATTTTGAGGTAAAAGTAGGATATAATTAAAAATGAATCTGCATTGGACAATAAATCGCAAATTTCCTAACAGATTAAAATTTAAAATCCCTTTCATATCATGTTTCAAGTCATGTTAGGTGCGATTGTCATGAAAGCAGGACTGACTCCAACCCAAAGAATTTCGTTAATAAAAAACTTATAACGTAAATTTATTTATACGAATTAGATTTAGAATGACATGCATTTATTGATCGGCGATTTACGAAATGTGGATATATGCTCTTGTAAACCAAATTGGCCAATCTCTATTTCACTAAGTAACCCATCAAGTTTGCTATATCGTAAAAACATCCGTACAAATCCCCAGGTACTTGACAGGCGAAGGTTACTCTGATACAGCCAGTAAACCTTGTGGTTGTATTATCGGGGACCAAACAAAAAGTAGGGAGTCCAAATAACCTTGTACCTGCCGGATGTCATTTAGCAGCCCACAAGTAAACGTCATCTGGCGACAGTTAGTTAGATGTTGTGTCTAGGGATAAGTATATCAGTTAACTTCTGATCTTTGAGGAAATCGCAAAGTCGACTTTTCAAAATCCAATTTTGATTTTTTTTTATAAATACATGGTTTATTATACCAAAGCCCAAATTGCTCAAAAATTACACATTCCAGAACTTTATTTTATCTGTTGAGAGGGATTTATATAAAAACTTTGTAAAAGTCGAAAATCGGTTTTTAACAAGTTTCAAAGGCAAAGGCAAAAATCCAAAAGTCTAATACACCCCCAAACCATTTGCGAACTATAAAGTCGACTTTTAGACTTTTTGATTTTTGCCTCTGACCAAAAAGTCGATTTTCAGACTTTTCGATTTTTGCCTTTGACTAAAAAGTCGACTTTTCGATCTTCGATTTTGTCAAATTTGTTCAAAATCGATTTTCGAATTTTACTAACTTCTGCAAAATCGACTAAAAATTTGATTTTTTATATGAATTATTGTGAACAGATAAAGTAAAGTTCCGGAAAGTGTAATTTTTGGGCAATTTGAGCTTTGTGATAAAAAAACCAAGTATTTATGAAGAGAATCGAAAGTCGATCTTGAAAAGTCGACTTTACGATTTTCTCATAGATCAAAAGTCGATTTCGACTTTTAGACTTTTCAATACAAAAAGTCGATTAATCGATTAGTCGAAAGTCGATTTACTTATCACTATCCCCGCCATGCTTTACTGCTGATCGCAAATCTGTTATATCCATCTCTTTATTGGGTTTTCCGTTACCATTCCATCAGAAGAGAATATATTAAATTTAGACTTGTCAGTAAATATGACATCATTACAGAAATCTGTTGGATGTTTTAGGTACTCATTGATAAATGGTAGTCTTCTACGTCTGTTGCGATCATTTATGAATGGTTTGATAATCTTGACTACGAAGACTTCATCGGACTGTGGACGCACTAACTTCCTTTTTAAAATATATTTTCAGCTAATTTCGGAGCAGAAATCCTTGAATTTGGTTTTACTTTTCCAATTATCCAACGTTCGTCGGAAGGACTCAACATTTTTATCAGAGTATTTGCTTATTTTATTTGATATCCGATTTCAAAGAATTTCAAACAAAATTCTGAATATCATTCAATATAATTTTCTATTTGTTTCTTAGCTTACTGAAGACCTAAGAGGCTGATCTTATCAAGGGTTTTCACAAAGAACTCTTGAGAAATTCTTATAGAATATCAACCAATTTTTGGTAAAAAGTCAAAAGATCCTTCAATATATTTTTCTATTTGCTTCATCCTTATATTAGATTCCCTGTAAGTCTACTACACAATTTTCCCTGTTGGTCCGCTGTAGTTTATTCTAGGTAAGAGGGCTGCCATCTATCGTTGCCTAGAAGCAACAAATAGTTGAATTTGGCCCGGTTGTTTGTTAGGCATTGTTTAGTCTTCTTTTAGAAGACCAATAAATCTTCGTATAGATGTATGGGAACAAGGATTTTGAAGAAAGATATATCCCTTGCTTGATTTGAATAAAATTTAAATATCCTTAAATCATTGTCATTTCAAATATCGTAATTCGGAAGTTGAAGTATCAGGATGAAATATGAACATAGTTTTCCGCGGTGCAATTACTGTACATTGTTCTGATGGCAGTGATGTCGGTTCTGGATAACAATAGAAAGAATATATGAATGGCTTTGTGAAACCCGCTGAGGATTTAGTAGAGGATACTCAGTTGGAGTAGACAAATACATATAGGTATCGGAAGTTACAGTGTTTGCTGAATTAATTGAGTTAACCGCTGAAGACAACTTAGGCTCAGTCGAACGAATATCAGAAGACGAAATCTATGGGATTGTAGATGGAACTGAGGTAGTTGCCGGAGAATATAGAACAATTAAATTTTATGTATACTAGACTGAATTTATAGTTAAAAGCAATTTGTGTTATCATATGTTCATATTATATAGAAACACACTATGTGTGGTGCATACTTTTAGGCATGTGTTGTCACAAATACTTATATTATAAAAAAAAACACGTCATATGCTTATGATTATTTTTATTTTATTAAAATTGTTTGTTCTTAATATCTAAAGCCTCTGAAAAAAAATCTAAAGAAAATAATGCAGAACCGAACACAATATCCATAATAGTGAAATATTAAAAAAATATATTGTGTATACAAATGTTCTGCATCTAATTTTCGGTTTGGTGTAGTTCTCATTGGGTTATTAAAATTTTGTGGAATGGAACATATTCCATTCTCCACGTTTTATATATTAAAACTTATAATTATTTGTAGTTTTGTTGTTTGTTTTTTTTCTTTTAATTTATCCATTCAATTAAATTTCTCCATAAGTTCTTCCTTCTTAATGGCAATATATTGTTTGTATAAACGTTGCTTGCAGAAATTATACAATTCAATTTCATGGGCAAATTGTATTTTCAATTTGGCCTCAACCTCGGGTTCCAACTCGGTATTATGGGGTGTTGCATTTTTCTTGAATTTACCACTTTTATCACCTGGAAAATATATTACAGTGTGTCAGAGAGAATACGACAAATAAGGTTATATAACCGATGACTTATTGTAATTACTTACTATAATACATTTCAGTGGCGCCACGGAAAAATCGCGGTATATAATGTTCCAATACGGTCAGGGTAATATTTGTATCTTCCCAGGAACCTACAACAGCATATTCACGTTCTATATTTTGTTTGGCCATTTGTGTGGCAGTTGGTGAATTAAAGTTCCTGGAATTTTTTGAATATTTTTTTCTTTAAAATTTTTTCAATTCACAATTTTCAAATAAATATAGAAACAGATCTTTTTTCGGTTTGAGGAAGTGGTCAATTTCTAAGTATTTTTCCCCTTAAAAATATTTGTTTTTCTTACTTGCAATCCGGATGACTTCCACACAAACGCAATGCTAAACGCCGCCAATCGGCATTATAGTCGTTATGCGGCTCAAATATACATTCCGGTATCTTGGCCTGTTTAACACAATCATTAAATGTGGTATCGAACCATTCTCTAGTTTCCATTTTACGATTACGATGTTTGACATAATAACCAAATACAGTTGGATGTCTGACATAATAATAGGCACTGATCACCTTTTGTATCGGATGGCGTATCATATTTACATAGATAGGTTTTGGCAAATCATGTTTGGTAAAATTTATCCAATTGATGTGTTCGGCATAAGACATTGGCTCGGCCACCTCAGATATTTCTTCGGCTACATCGCGTTCTTCATCGTCTGTTAGTAGCTTTGGACTGACTATATGCTCCTGATTGTGATAGGGTGTGAAATTATTCACGACAGACAACTGTCGTAGCAGTGTCATCAAAGATTGGGAGCCAACTTTTTCGATGCGATTGAAAAAGAGACATTCCTGTCCAGCTTTTCCCGTATTATTTAAGCTCTTTGGATCAAGGTTGTATAACTTGGGGGGAGGGGTTGAGGGAAACAAATAAAATGCCATTAGGCTCGAATAAGATTTGAAAATCGATTTAATGAATGAGATACTTCATTCCATTTGAAAGCTTTAAGCTTTGCAAGCTTTTTGCCTTTGAAATCAATATTTTTGAAGCGTTTTTTATACAAAAAGAAACACTTTTATTGTGTATAAAGCTTAAGAATTATTAGGAAAAGCTTGAAGATTAAGAACGAGGTAAGAGCAGAAAAATTTAGAAATAAACACTATAAGTTTTAAACTTTAAACTCTAAAAAGCTTTTATGAAAAAGCTTAGTTTGTACTATGTGATGGGGCTGACATCTGTCGTTGCCTAGAAACAACGCATCCTTGACCTTATGCAGTGGTTGGTGTCCCTGATTATGTAGAGTTACCGTTTTCCTCTGGGTTGCGCGATCCTCTGGCATTCATATTTTGTGATATCATCATGTGTTCATGCCGATGTTAGTTATTAATATATCAGAAGGCTTCGGATGTATTTCATCTGGAGTGGGTTTTAAGTTTCGTTTTACAAAAAATCGAAAACCACTTTGTACGAATTTTTTCTCCTATGCTTTATTTGTCCAAGGTAATAAGGCTGTCATCTATCGTTGCCTAGAAACAAAGTGGTGTATTTCGTGCAAAATTGAAAATTTCAAACTCTAAAAAATGTTTATGAAAAAAGCATAGTCTGTACTATGTGATGGGGTTGCCATCTATCGTTGCCTGGAAACAATTCCTCCTTTTGCTATGTGCAGTGATTGGTGTCCCTGCTTATATAGTGTTGCTGTTTCCTCTGGGTAGCGCTATCTTCTGGCCAATGTTGGTTATTATAAAGTCAGAAAGTTTAAGATGCATTTCATCGGTGGGGGATTTAAGCTTATTTTTTACAAAGAATCGAAAACCACTTTAAAAGATTGTTTCTTCCTGCGCTGTAGTTGCCTGAGATGATGGGTCTGTCATCTATCATTGCCTGGAAACAACGCCTCCTTGAATTTTGTTTAGTTTTTGGGGTCCTTGCGTATTTAATGTTGTCTTTCCCTTGGGTGGCGCTATCTTCCTATTATGATATTATTCCAACCAAATAGACAATTGGTCTGATGTTGTCTGTTCTAGCTGATGGTGCTGCCATTTATCGTTGCATAGAAATAACGCATCCTTATGTTTTGAACCGTGGTTGATGTTCACGCTTATTTAGTGTTTTCGTTTTCCGCTCGTTGACGCCTGCCAATCCTATTATGATTCTATTTCAGCTAAGTGGATGATTGGTCTGCTGTAGTCTCTTCTAGGTGTTGGGGCTGCTATCAAACTTTTCGTAGAAACAATGTCTCCGAGTTGTGTGCAGTGGTTGGGATCCTTGCTTATTTAGTGTTTTCATTTGCCACTCGGTGGCGCTGTCCCTTGTCATTGCTATTTGTTATCCTCATACTTCTCTTAACCTAATTGACCATCTTCCCCCCTCAAAAATTTTCCCTCTCCATATTAATTATTTAAAATAATGAGTTTTTCTTACTTGCATTCCCGATGATTACCACAAAAATACATGGCAAAATGACGCCAATCCTGATTGTATTTAGTTTCACGATCAAATCGACAATCCGGTAACTTGCCCTCTTTAACACAATCATTAAAACTTGTATCGAAATATTCTTTAGGTTCCAATTTGCGGCTACCGCGTAACAAATAATAACTGTATACGGCCGGATGGCGTAGATAATAATAGGCACTCATCACTTTCTTAATGGGATGCCGAACCATGTTGATATAGATCGGTTTTGGCAGATCGTACTTTTCAAAATTAATCCAATTAATGTGTTCGACATATGACATGGCACCTGAAATTTCGGTAATTTCTTCAGCCAAAGCTTCCTCTTCGTCGGGTGGATACACAATACGAACGGTGGCATTTACTTTGTTAACATAGGCGGTGAAGTTATTTTTTAAGGATAGTTGGGCGATTAGGGTCATCAGAGATTGGGAGCCGACTTTTTGTAAGCGATTAAAAATTAATTTTTCCGTTTCTGCCGTTACGGTGTTGTTCAAATGGGCGGGTTTAATGGTGTACAGCTTTGGGGAGAAGGAAAAAAAGTTGGGAGAACGCATTTTAAGAGCTGCCAAAGAAAGCCTTTTTCGCCTTACAAGCTTTTCACCAAAAGCTTTTGTTATGATCTCATTTTGACCGATTCCATCGCAGCAAACTTTAAAAAGCTTTAATAAGCCGTACTCAAGAGCTTTGTTCCAAAAGCTTTTTTATGGCCGATTCCATCGCAGCAAATGTTACTTAGCATTATTCAAGAGATTTGTACCAAAAGCTTTTTTATGGTTGCATTGTGGCCGATTCCATCGCAGCAAATGTTAAAAAGCTTTAATTAGTATTAATTCAAATGGAAATAGGAAAACAAAAATTTTGCTAAATTCGCTATCCCTCGAAGCCTTGAAAAGCTTTAAATTCTTCAAATAAAACTATGATTTTAACCTCTCTGTAATTTAGAAATAATGGATCTTAGCCCCTTGTAATAATTCTATTGTACGAAAAAGATCTGTTTCTATATAATAAACAAGAAAGCTTCTCAAAAATTTTAAAAGCTCCTTCATCATACCTGCACACCGGCGCATTTCCACAAAAATGCAATGCCATGCGCCGCCAATCTTTATTAAATTCCATTTTCGAATCGAAACGGCATTCCAGAAGTTTTCCTTTTGCCACACAATCATTAAACGTTGTATCAAAATAGGGTTTTTGTGGTACATTATTCTTTTTTACATCCATAATATGATTCATATATACATATGGATTACGTTTCTCATAGTACGCACTCATCACCTTTTGTATGGGATGTCTTATTAAACTAATATAAATTGGTTTGGGCAAATCATACTCCGTCATATTTATCCAATTTCTATGTTTGGAATATGAAAAAAATCCCTCCAATTCGAAAAATTCATCTAGAAAATCATCTTGTTCTTCACGATCGAAATCGTAATCTGTATCGGGTGGATGATCATCAGTATGAGCTGCGAAATCGTTGCGTTTGGATAGATCATCTAATAGCTTTACTAGGGTGGTACTACCGGTTCGTGGAACTTGTGTAAAGAGTATTACATCACGTTCTGCTTTATGGGTAACATTTAGATCCATGGATCTCAGTTGTTCGTACTAACGGAAAGTGATATAAAATTCATTAAAAAATCATTAAATTTAAAATACTAAAGTTCCCCAGCAAAGCTTTTTTGTGGCATTTCAAGCTTGCAGGCATTCAAAAGTTTTAGCTCCAAATCAGAAATAGCTATTAACAAAGCTTTTTTAGAAAGTTTTATTTATAGAGATTGTTTTATGATAAGAAGAGCCAGAGAGTAAATCTTTAAATTATTTTTAGAAGAAAAAGAATTTTCAGTTTAAAAATGTGCACCGATGCGTCTCGGTTTCGAATTCCAGCAGAGGAGAAAATTTCTATTTCATATATAATAAACTAAAGGGAGCGTTGTTTTTAGGTAACGATAGATGGCAGACCCATCATCGAGAACAAGCCACATCAGATCAATCATCTACTTAGCTGCATTGTGGACTACAAACCGATGAATCCCGGGTTCCAAGGTCTTTAAAAGTGGGTTTCGAATATTTATAAAAAGAGGGTTACATAACCCTCCAAATGAAATACATCCGAAGTTCCCTTGAGAGTTTAATAACAAACCTCGGCATCAACATATGAGGATAGTACACGATATGAATGGCAGCAGAAAGCGCCATCCAGTGGAAAACAGCCACATTAAATAAGCAAGAACCCTAACCGCTGCTCTCTATAGGCATGACAGGACATAGCGCCACCCTATGCCCTATGCTCCCAAGAGAGGTCACAGGAGAAAAAATGGAGAAAGCATTGTGACTTTTACAGAGAACAATTTTAAAGGTACAAAAGTAAACACAAGAAGACTAAGTGTGTGTCTTGGGTCAATCGAAGGAGTAAACGAAGCGGACAGATTTCGCAGAGTAATATCTAAAGATCCGAAATCTATAGCGAAGCGATGGGACGTGGACAAACTCCGCCAGAGAAACTCTTGATCACTCTTGTATGGTCCATATCGACGAAGTGTGGTGTGCACATCGGCATATGGTTCGAACCAAGGAAGAGGAGAAGCTGATAGAGAACACTATAAGCTACTCAAAGGACTTGTCTGCTTTTATTGTACATACCAAGTCTATGGAAAGAGGTAACGGTGGCTACGCTACCTAAGGACTATATACCTTTCTTCCGTTCTACTAAAGGCTTTAGAAAGGTTACTAGACTCCAAAATTAGGAATACTATCAACCCCAATAAATCTCAGCATACATACATCAAAGGCAAATCAGTGCATACTGCCTTACATGAGGTGGTCGGACATATCGAGAATAATATGGACACCTCCGGTTACACATTGACTGCGTTCCGCGACATTGAAGGAGCCTTCAACAATTTGAAACTGGAAGCTATCCATTCTGCTCTCGATAATTCAGGTATCACCACCCTCCTGACGGACTGGATTGATAGAAGGCTGAAAGCAGAATTATCAACTTGTCTATTGGAGAGAATTTCGTGAGGAAATCTGTCAACAGAGGCAGACCACAGGGAGGAGAACTATCTTCTCTACTATGGCTTCTGGTGATAAATGAGATACTGTTGAAATTTGATCACCTTATGATAAAGGTTGTAGCTTATACCGATGATGTAGTCTTATTAGTCGGTGGGAAATTTCTGCCGATTATTTCTGACATCCTTAAAACACTGTTGAATTGGGCACAACCCCATGGTCTTGGCGTAAACCGCACAGAAACAGAAATTAAAATCTTCACAAGGAAACGTAAGATCCCAAATTTCTGATTGTCATCCCTGGGTAGAGTTACTTTAGCTCTTTCTTCAGAAGCAAAATATTTGGTTACAGTCCTTGACCACATGCTAACGTGGAAAAGTAATGTCGAGGAACGCACTATGTAATATCTAATAGCACTCTACTTCTGCAAGAACTCTATAGGTAAGTGTCAAGCAAGGGGTCAACAGGCATACACTACTGGCTAATTGAGTACCGTACAGCGATTGGTGTCGATCCTCAATAGCGGAGCGCTAAGAAGCACACCACGGGCAGCCTTCAATGCAATCTTGAATCTCCAGCCATTGGATTTTCTGCTTAACTTCAAGGCTGCAAAATGTGCCCTGAGACTCCGGAAAACGGATGCCTTGAAATCGCTGAATTTGGACCACAATGCCAATTTGTGACTTTTTGGATAGAAGTACTCACATCAGTGACTATACTCCCTCTCATAACAACTTTAACGATATCAGAGTAGAATTTCCTAGTAGGGAATCCTGGGCAAGTGACTCGTTACCTCTGGCCGGTCTGTCGATATTTACAGTCGAAGATCTTTGCAGCGTTATCCAGGCAGAAATCCTGGCAATCACGAAAGCGGCTGAGATTGGTAAACACTTAATGTGTTTTCGGCAGTGACCGGTGGCTATATACTGGCATACTTCTAATGTAAAAAAATTATCAATATAGAACCATGTTTTAACATAGACCCTATATAAAGATCACACCCCATTTTCAGTATTTTAAAGGCTTCTGCCGAATCTCCCCACCCAAATGTATGTAATTAGTCATCTCAGGATCTAGAAGGCTGAGTAACAGTTTTAACTGTAGCAATATTTAGAGATATTTTGGAAAAAATTGAGTTTAATTAGGTTTCTTAAAAAAATATAATATTACAATATTAAGTAATTTTACATATTTTCTATTAAAGGTTGTAAATAATCGGATCGTAATGTTATTTTGCGGATAAACCTCTTCTCCATTAAATATTCCCCATTCTTCACAATGTCGCAATTAGTTCGCTAATAATTTCATTTATTTTATTAAATATTAAATACTTTTTTTAAATATTATCTAAAGCAAAATATTGTTTATACAGACGTTGTTTACAAAAATAATAAAATTCATATTCGCGAGTGAAATTTTTGCGTACAAGATTCTTAACCTCTTCACTGACTTTGGGTTTCCAGTTATTGCCATTGCGCTTGACATTCGCCAAATTATCTGAAAACAAAATTTTTGTCATTGCAAATAAATAAAACATCTAATTCTGCGGAAGACTTTACCATAATATAATTTGGTGGCACCACGGAAATATTTCGGTATATAGTTTTCCAAAACTTTCAGGGTGACATTAACATCTTCCCAGGAGCCAACCACAGCGAAATCATGTTCAACAATTTCTTTGGCTCTTTGCAGAGCGCCATATGAATTAAAAGGTCTAGAAAAACAAACAAGTTTTGTTCTCAATAAATACAAAAAGGCGTGAATAAAATAATATGCAACCTACTCGCAAACCGGATCATGACCACAAAAGAATAACGTTTGACGGATATGTAGAGCCTTTGTCTGCGTAAAACTTGCTCCCTGCTCATAAACACACTCGGGATCGGAATTCAATACACAATCATGATAATCTTTTTTATAGAATTTCGGTGGAAAAAATTTATTCGTAACACGATAATTTTGTACTGCACTCCATGGTGTACGACGATAATAGAACCAACTTATCACACGTTCCACTGGGTCACGCACCAAATTTATATAGATCGGTTGAGAGGTATCGTATTTACGAAAATTTATATAATTTACATGCATACTGTGGGAGTGACCTGGTCCCATTTCATAGAGGTCATCGACTAACTCGGCTTGTGAGACTTCGTTTAGGTGATAGTGTATAGGTTGGGAAAATGGCGCCCGACTAACACTGAAATTATTTACCTCACCCAGTTGACGTATTAATTCGATTAGTTGTTCACTGCCCACTTTGGGTACACGATTGAAGAGCAGGAAATCGAATTGTGAGAAACGTGTATTGTTTAGCAGTTTGGGATGAAGACGCTCCAGCTGTTTTGGGGGCAAAAAGAAACAAGGAGAAGAAGAAGGGTAAGGTAACGTAGTTTGTTACAAACTTCAATGGGTGTTCTACTAAAGCTCTTCCCAACTACGATTATGTGGATATAAAGCAATGCCTTCTACTGCAAAGCGTTTATATGATATTGTATGCGAAAAATGTGTGTTGCTGTGGAAAGAGGGTTCCGAAAATTTTGGAAATACAATTAGTTGGGAGAGGATTGGAGTGTCTTACGGAAAATACTACTTTTGTTTTTCAGGATGGGTGGGGAAATAAATACCCAAATTTGTGGAACTTGATATTAGTTGGGAGGGACTGTGAGCATGGAGGAGTTTAATAGATCTGAGCGTCTAAATTTGGGAAGTTCTTTCATATGATCGCTTTATTTATATTATTGCTTTGTAAAGTCAATAGATATATGTTTCTGTCTCATAAAAGTGCAGCAGATTTAAATAAAATTTAAATTTAATTCCAAATTTCTTGTTCTCATTTGGGCGCCAATTGTATTGGTAGGCTAATGCTGATATTATAAATTTATTCGAAATTTTTGATTCACTTTAGTTGTGATGATTATTTGGCATAAATATCGTTTGGTCGTCATATTTAAAATCGAAAACCTTGTGTTTGAGAGTATTCAATATACTCGGCATATGGATATCCGATACCTATAACGACGATAATAATACAGTAAGTCGATGGTGGTACTTTCTATTAAATTTATTCAATTCTGATGGCTCGGTGCATTCTATCGCTGGAATTGCAATTTAAGATATTTAAATTTCATATGAGGAGAAAAATGTTGGGCGCCATTCTCTAAACACCAGGGCTCCAGTAAATAATTAAAAATTGAAAATGTTAGGGACGAAAGAGACGAAGTTGAAGAAAATATTTTGAGCGGTAATATTGCAAAAAGCAGACCTAATATCTTTGGGCGCTATGCTCTATGTAATATTTGATCCCCATTATTTTAAATGGTGGTCAAGAAAAGATGGTAGTGAAAGAAGGATTGCATATTAAATTTAAAAACAGCTTTGCTTTGCACTTTTGAAGTCTAATTTTTTTATCACAGAAAATTTAATTGTTGTCTTTCAATACGATAGATTCAGTGTCAACAAAGAAATATGACATATATTCCCAAACTATTGTTTCATTGGACGCCTTTCTAAATAATGTGATCATTTTTCGAGGTTCGTAGAGAGAAACACCTGAAAAAATATGTTGTTCGCCAATAAAAAGATTCGTGACATTTATTTTTTGACTTTAATTTCAGCAGATGAAGAAAAACTGGAAGGACGAAATAAAGATTTAAACTCGTAGAAATTTAATTTGCTCTTAGAATAGTGGACCCCACAAAATTAAACCTATAACAATTTCAAAATTTGTTCTCAGTCTCTGATTTCATTGGCCGCCATTTGAAATTAATTTTAAAATTTTTTATAGTTATATTGAAATTTTAGAAAATTTTGATTTGGGAATGGGCAGAAATTGGCGGAAAATATTCCTAATTATTCCCTTGGGTCCCAGAAACTGAAGCTTCATTTAAATAGAAAGGAAATTAATTACTATGAAAATAATAGATTCAAAAACTATGTTGGGCGCCAATATAACCTTGAGACCCTATCACGATTCTCATAGAAGAAACAGAGATTTTTTGGGCGGCAACATAAAGTTGAAATTAATTCTCAGTCGCTGACATGAAAGGAAGCCATTTGAAATTAATTTAAATTTGACGATAATAATATTGAAATGTTAGAAATTTATGCTTCGTAAATGAAGAAATTGGAGGAAAATATTCCCATTTATTTCCTTGCGTTGTTACATTACCTGATGAAACAGGAAACAGAAAATTAAGCCTTCCATTTATATAGAAAGAAATAAAAATGTTGGGCGCCACTATAATTAAAGTATATTTTTGTTTACATTTAACACATCGGAATGTTGTTAAACCCTAGAAACTAATGTTACTTTTTATAAGCAGTTGGTGCTTATATTTTCTACATGAGGGTAAAAAAGTGAATCATGAATATGTCTGTCCCAAAAGCAGAGAAGTCAAGATGGTTCTTCTGACGAATTTCCTTGTGCAAAATTCAACCTTTTCAAAGGCGTTAGCCTTTTTGGACTTTGCACACCCTCCAGCCTCATGAGTCATCAAAATTATTAAGAATTAAAATTGTCAACTAGAAAAAATTGCACGTAGCCCGTCAATATTGCAGACACGTTTTGAACAAACTTCATAGATAATTATGAGCTTATAATATATTTTTAAACACTTTTTATAGTTACTTCTGTTCGGAGTATTAGGCTTTGACATCTTACTCAATTAGTCCTCGTTAATCATTCCATTCCTAAATAGATTATTGGTCTGCTGTAGTCTGTTCTATGTGAGTGAAATGCCACCTGGCGTTAACTAGAATCAATGCCTCCTAGAATTTTGTGGAGTGGTTGTGGTCTCCTAGGATTTTGTGGAGCGGTTGTGGTCCTTGCTTATTTTGTTACCCTCTTCTTTTTCTCATACTAAGTAATTTTTTGAGCACCACAAAACTATACGAGCTTGTTAAATTTAATAAAAGGGAAGGACTAGATAAACTAGGTGGACGAAAGTGCCGATCGTTCCTTGTGGTGAATAGTTAATTTGAACTAGTTTGCTTAGGAACGAAATTTAATAGCTGAATTTTGACTTAATATGTTCAATTAAAAAATAACAAATTCATTGTAAGGAAAATAAAAATTAATGTTGGGCGCCAATACAAAAAAAAGTAATGCATTTTTGGATATTGCTTTTTGGGAGGCACAGAGTAAATAAATATATAATAAATTAAATTCCATAGAGGATGTAATGTCATAGGAGATCAGTAATGCCAAGATAAAGGAATAATGGCCTCTGTATTAACATAAGAGTTTCTTTATAATGATTTCTATTTCAATACAAGAGCTACCGTAGTTGCAAGGTTTTCTATTGTAATAAAAGTTTCCACAGTTGTATTAAAAATTATTTCAATTTATTTAAAAAAATTCGAATTACATTGCATTTTATTTTTCTTCTAAGACTTATTAAATTCGTTACACAAAAGTAGAAATAACGTATACAATTATATCTTATGACTCTAGGTATATAAATTCATTACTCCTCTTCTTCCTCATTGTCATATTCGTCATCGGGTATTAGCATATAATCATCATTATCCAAAGATTTGCCATCACTGATGGCATTATATTGCAAATACAAACGCTGCTTACAGAATTCATAGAATTCAATTTCATGAGTCAAATTTTTACTCAAAATCATGCGGGTCTCTTCGCTAATGGGTCGTGTGACATTATTCCTATTGACACGAGAGAGACGGTCTTTGCCCTCTGCAAAAAAGAAAGTGGAGAAACGAACATATTTCACTTAGGAATTTTGAAAAAAAGTGTCTAAACTCTCACCATAATATAAAGTTTTGGCATTCCTAAAGAATCGCGGTATATAATGTTCCAAAACCGATAAGGTTATATTGGTATCTTCCCAGGTACCCACGACAGCATAATCTTCTTCGACAGTACGTTTGGCTTTTTGCATGGCAGCTTTGGAGTTGAAGGGCCTAAAACATTTTTATTTTTTGATATTTAAAAATTCATTCCAAATTTTTTTGATTTTTCAATTTTGTTCACACTCCAAAACTTACATGCACAATTTCTTATTTTGCCCGCAGAAGAACAATGTTTGGCGACGATGATCTCCAGCCGGGTTTTTAACCTGCATTTGATTGAATTGACAATGGATATTGCCCGTCTTGACACATGTATCCAAATCCATTTCCATAAATTCCTTGGGTGGCATTTTTGGCGCCCTGTCGCCCAATTTGGCTTTCAAATCGCGATAATACCATTCGGCACGTACATAATAATGCCATGAGCGGATGCGTTCAATGGGATCTCTAATCAAATTGATGTAAATCGGCCGAGGCATATGATGTTGCGTAAAATTGATATAGGCAATGTGCTGGCTATAGATGCGTGGTCGTGTTAGATTATAGATTTCATGGATCAATTCCTTTTGCTTGGGTGGTGGCAGCAAAATGGTCTCATGCGGCTTACCCACATCACGGGAGTGTACAAAATGATTGACCTTACCCAAGCGTTGCATTAATTCCATTAACGATTGGCTACCAACTTTGGGAACACGATTGAAAAAGACGACATCGACTTCGGCTTTTTTGGTATTATTTAAGGCATCAGCGGAATATAACTCATCATCGTCGTATTCATATTCATCATCATCAACCTCTTCTTTACGGCCATGTTTGCCATGAACATGATCGTCGTCATCATCTTCCTCATCCTCGTCATCGTACTCTTCTTCATCGCCATCATCATCATGATGTTTGTTGTGATGTTTCTTACCATGATGATGATCATCCTCATGGTGAGCCTTTCCACCTTTATGGCCATGCTTGCCATGTTTGGCATTACCATTCGTTTTTAATGGCAATTGCAATTCCAAACGTTTACTTTTGTTATGCTGACGATGATGATTGCGATGATTGTGCGGCCGATTATTTGTGACTTCGATTATTTGTGGATTATCAAGTTCATGTTCATCTAATTGACGATCAATGTGACGAGCTTGTCGCTGTTTTGAAAAACGAGTTGGGGATATAGTTTAAAATCAAAAATATCGGGTTTTCTCTTGTTTGTCTCTCTTACCAACGACCTTTCACCAAATGAGCATGTTGAACATATACGTGCATTGATTTACTCTCTTTCTCTCACTTTTACTCCCTTTTCCAAAACACAAACAGATGAAGAATGATGAACACAGAACTACATTGAATTGCTTTTTGGCATTTAATAATTAGTACAGAAATAAACACGAAATAACCACAAGACGAAGCGAAAAAGAAGAAGAGTAGTCGAGAAAAATAAATACTCTCACAAAAATGAGAGCTTTACAAAAAAATATGCTAAGCGTTTTTATATATATGTATTTTAATCGTTTAACAGAAATCAGCTGAAGTTACATTTTATAAGCAGATATTCATTTAATCATGAATATGTTATTTTGTCCCAAAAATATATATGCCATGTAACAAAAAGTTACAGAGTACCATGCTTACAGCTCAAAACATAATCGATAGCAGAGAAGTCAAGTTGGTTCTTCTGGCGAATTTAATTGTGTCAAATTCTATCTAATTTAACGGGTTTTTGGGCTTCGTCATCCTTCAGCAGAAATGTATAGTTCCAAAACGAACTAGTTCATTGAAACTATTCCCATAACGGAATGATAGGAACTACGTCTAGTGATTTAGTTCCTTTTTCAAGTCTCGTTCTTTTCACTGAACTCGTTTCTTTTTGTGACCTCGTTCCGTCATTCCCATATTCTTCATGTTCAAAATATATGAGCATATGCTCGTCAAGTTACTATTGTGTAAATAATAAAATCCTGTAGCTTCGGAATATTTTACTTAATAGAAATTAATTTCATTCAACTTGTTGTTTTACATTTTTCATCCCTCAACGAATCCACACGAAACTATGTAAACCCAAAACCAAACAAAAAGATGAAAGAGAGAGATTTAAAGAACAATAAAAAAATGGGTCGGAACTATATGGAGCAAAGGAACTAGTTCCTTTTTAAAACAGGAACAAGAAAGATCGACCCGCTCCGTGAACTAGATTGCCCAGCTCTATCCTCCAGCTCATGAGCCGTCAAAATTATAAAGAATAAAAATAAAATTACCAACTTTGCGAACTCAAAAGTAAATGCACGTCAATATTGGGGACACTTTTTGAATAAACTTCTTAGATAATTGCCATATAAGATATTATAAGATATTTATAAACACTTTGTTTTTATTTCTTCAGTTACTCGTTACTCATTCCATTGTTAAGTAAATGATTGGTCTACTGTAGCCAGGGATGCCACCTATCATTGCCTGGAGCAATGCCTCCTTAAATTTTTTCCATGGTTTGTGTCCTTGCATATTTAGTGTTGTCCTATTCTTCTGGGTGGCGAAATCGCAGTCTACAACAACGCCTCCTTGAATTTTGTGGAGTGCTTGTAGTCTTCGCTTATTTAGTGTTGTTATATTCCTCTGGGTGGCGCTATCTCCTGCCATTCCTATTTTGTGTTATCTTAATGTGTTGATTTTTATGCCGAGGTTGGTTATTAGAACACCCGTTGAAATAGTGAGCTAATATGTGCCGTGAGTTCATCCATACGAACTATAAAAAAAATGGATTGAGGCGTCGGGTTATTTGCACCTCCTCGAAAAAACCCACATTTTATAAAAAATCAATGTAAAAGAAAACCAAATTCCCCCCAATGTTGACGACCCCGCACACGTCTAAAGGACTACGAACTACTCTTGGAATGTGCGCACAGACCTAAGACATATTTTAAGAGCCTCCATTATATTGTAGGAGCTTGTTGTTTTTACAGAATATTATAAGCAGATCATAACGTTTTTATGAAAAGTTATTAGCTGAGCAATTAGCTTTATAGCAAACAATAACAGCTTATAATTTTCCTGACCTATATCGGCTGATAAAAAATGTATTTATAAAAAATATACAAGCTTTTAATTCTGTATGCAAATGATCAGCTGATTATATTTTCTTTCTGTATTTCAGCATTTTTTCATAAAAGATAAATGCTTATATTAACAATTGTTGTATCTTAACTAACATGTGATAAGAATAGTATTAATAAAAATAATCATATCTAAAACATTATAATTATAAATCAATTGTTTATCTTCATCTTAATTTGATTTGGGTTGTTCCGGAATGAACTAGTTCAATGGAACCATTTCGAAAAGGAACAATC